TTTTAACTTGAGTATTTCTAGTCCTTTTTCGTGAGTTAATGCAGTTTTTTTGTAATTTGTATACGTATGTTTTGCATGAGACAATCCTTCACACAGTAGTAAGTTATGCAATCCATTATCCATTCTAATATTCTAAGGAATTAGTAGTTCAGTAGAGAGTACTTTTGTAATGTTGCTAAATGAACACTGTGTTGTATGCATTCCGTTGCATAGAAAAGTTTTTCTTAATTGACAGCGCCAGAAAAATATCCCTGCACACCTAAATCAACATAATATGGGGAAATTTTCTTTTTACAAAGTGCTTTTCGTACTGTTGTTGATGTAGCAATAGCGTGGAGCTATTCAATTTTCTAGTATAGAATTATTTCAATATCTCTATTTACATGTACATTCTTGTTGTACAGCTAAAGCCAAAACAACAACACAATTTGTATGTCGCGAAGCACCATTAATGTTACCAGAGCCGGGAACGATAGTAATCTATGACAGTAAAGATAACAGCGAACTGGATCTGGATATGCTGCAGGTTAATTTTCCCATAATATGAAATATAACCTGGTTTTTGTTGTTATATTAATGTATAAATTATTGTAGGTTGAAAGGGAATGAGCATATTTTGCGTTTCACTATATTATATGGTATGTATTCTCATAACACAAGAAAGTTCTTGAATTAAAACGTCTAGTTTAAATGCACTCGATGAATTTTTTTACAGATGCGTGAACACTTAAGACAGGATGGTTATTCGTTCGATAATAATGATAGTGGTTTATTGCCGGATAATTTGTACATTACACGGTTTTTCAGTGGCAATGGAGACGATTTTGAGGATGGTCGAATTATGTACTTTTTTCACTTTCGTACTTTTGTTCAATATTCTTCATAAATTAAGTAATGATTCGCAGTATTGATGGTGAAGTATAAATCGATTAAGCTAGCACGACCGAACTTTGAAGCGCAATTGTATATCAGTAGTCATGATACAAAACTTTATATATTAATAGTCGTAACGACATGTATAAGCTATTTACGGAAACTTGAATTACAGGCGTTATGAAGTCACGACTACATATGAAGATGCGGGTTATGTATTATTCCACTATGTTAAGGGTACAAAATACGAAGTGGGATCAAGACGAAGTACGGACGAAATACCTGTTCATTGTTATAAGCCAAAAGCACCGCGTTTGAAAAGAGTTAGTTTTTGAGTTTTAAGCGTTGGTCCCTTTTTTTTTAACTTGTTACCCACGCCTTTCATCACTATCCGCTAGTCTTGTTTCTTAAAAAATAATATGGTCAGGAGCACAGTTTGCATTTGCAATTTTGTTCTCTTATTTTTTTTCGCTTCACCTCAAAATGCACTTTTTAGATTGATGAGAACAGGAGAAGAGCAGATATTTCATCGAATCGTGGATCACCAGTTTCACATCTGCCAGTTAAAATTAAGCGAAACGAATTAGATGGGTTACAAGCAATCGCTGGGTGTTTGCCGCCGAGTTTCCAATCATTTCTAGGGAATATTAAAATGGAAGCAGATAAAGATGAAAATCTTAATGGTATGGATGTATCTTTTGAGGAAAACGTGGAAACTATTGGAAGTGGAGTGGACGATTCGCAAATTGAGGATAACTGCGTCAGTATTGCTGGATTGTTGACATCATCTTATCCAAATAGAGATTCGAACCAAACATTAAGTGCACACGATGTCAAACCTGATACAAAAGTGGAGAAACGTGTTATGAATATTCTGAAAAAAGCAGTTCGTGATCAACGTCGCAGTAAAGTTCATTACTTGGCCCGAAGAACAAAAAATGTGAATTGGGTAAAAGTTGCAGATGAGCTTCAAAAAAAAGCGATTATGATAGCTACTGCAACGAGCAATGGTGATGCGGCATCGACAGGAAATGTGATAGCACATGAATTTGAAGAAGAGGAGGAGGGACATGATTGCAGTAATGATGTTAATGATGATGGTGATGATGACGATGATAATGGTGTTAGCGGTAGTGGTAACGATGTTAATAATGAACGTATGAATAATATTGCTTCGGACTATGCTGATACATCTAACTATGATGCCCACATATCGAATACCCTGGATAATAATGAGATTTAGACATGTCTTGTGCAAAATGTGAGCGGTACTCTTCAATTCATCGGCAAAAAAATTTTTTATGGATGAGATTGACCAGTGGGTTTTGCATGGATTATTTTTAAAAATTAGGTAGTTCACTGCGTTTTTGCTTAGAAATGCTTTTATACTTCGTTAGATATATTGATGTTGTATTTCTTTTTCTTCTTTGGAAGCGTAATAAGGCATTTCCATGCAAAATTAGTTGGTTTTTGAAGGAATCGGATGCTATTGATTACGAAAATATCTAAAATTTCAAAACAATATAGTCGAATTAAACAATAAGTCATTATTTGTAGTAAAAATCAGTCTTCTATATGTTAGAATGGGTGGAAGTATTTTTCCTGTCCATTTTTTGCAACGTTTAACTGATGTTTACTAGTTACCAATAGAATCGAAATTACGCTTCCCCTGCGTGATATCTTGATATCGCTGATTTCATATGCTGGGGTAGTCTCGTTCTGCTATAGAAAAGTTAAGGAAAAGAAGCTGGAAATATTTATTGAAGTCAGTAGGCATTGCTCGAAATGTATTTGAGAGTAACAAGTTGTAAAGCTGTAAACAGAGTTAGAGTAACTAGCAACTAGTTGAGTTTATATTGGTAGTATTTTTTGTTATATTTTTGTTTCTTCACACTACTTTGTCGTATTGTTCGTTGACGTTGCCATGATCACTTGACTCTCAGGGCACTCTAATATTTTTGAGAATGGAGATGGATAGTCGTCTTTCACCGCACGTCAGTGCTTGTCTTCCGTTTGTTGCTGGTAAGACGAGTAAGCCATTATGTGCTGCTCCAGGAGTCCGCTTTCCCCTGAGGTCCTGCTTAATATTAACTAATGATGTTTTCGTCAATTCCATTATTTGAATATGCGATTTTTTGGCATACAATTTTTATATGGTGCAGCGTCGGATAATTCTGCTAAATTCGTTCGTTCGTTGACCGTTTCGAACGAATAAACATTTTAATTTTCTGTTTTAATTATTTTCGCTTTTGAAAGACGGTCCTTAAGCGATGATATTATGATCATTTTTATAAACAAAGATGAAATATTATATTTATGAAATAGAAGATATAAGAGCTGCATTTTTGTTAAGCAGGTAAGGTAAATGGGTGTAGCAGAGTGCGCATATTCATTGGTGTTGGAATTTTTAATTACGCATCTTTGCTTATTCTTATTGGTCTCAATTTTTATTTCGTGTTTTTCTGCAGGTATTCGGGGAGATTGTGCACTCTCTATCTTTATTATTTCCGCAATGCAATGGACTGATCTCAGCACCGTTGCCTATATGGTATGACGGTCCACGAGTGATCTAATCTACAGGTTACAGTTTGGGCTCCTTCATTCTTCTCGCCGACCGGCTGGCTTCCTATCATTAGAAGAGAAAAATCAATTGATCTGGTCATCAGTACTTCCTGGGAAATATCCGGGAAGGTTATGCAACTATTATTAGTTGCTTCTATTTTGTTTACAAGGCATCAGAGCATAATGGAGGAGTTAAGTCCTTTATCTACAGGTTCATTTGATATTTTGTGCAAATACTTTGATCATTTCGTTAAGTGTTAAGGTTTACATGTGTCACCTAGAGTAATCTTGCTTGCAGCAAAGTAGTTTTCTTTCACTCACATTGTGCTCTATTTTTTGTTGTACAGCGTAGATTTGACAATGGTACACCTTTCATTCCTTGTGAAAATAAAATTATCTGATGGAAAAACTTGTCTAGTCACGTTTGAAAGCTTTTTATTGAATTGGGTTCCAAGGATTTAATGTTCTCACCAGTTTGTACTACCGAATAATTCAGATCAACTCAAGAAAGTAAACAATTTGAACGATTTAGGCGTTTAATTTGTCGTTTGAAGAATCCGTAATTCCAATATGGTTTAAATCTGCGTTTTTTTTTTTATGAAGAGTAATACAAGCGTCCGTTATACCAAGGTGAAAAGCAATAGCACTTGAAAGATGAGTTAGTATTCATTTTACGCTTAGACATGTTGCGCTGACTCATAATCTTGGTGAAAACTTCCCTTCCAACCTATCGGTAGTAGTGAAAGCAAGGTTTCGAAAAAAAAATTACTATAAGGAATAATTCTCAAGTAATCTAGGTAGTATCATTTTAATACAATCTTCGTTTGTCATCTAAGAGGTTCGAATTAAATCGAAGAAAAAGTCCTACAGCGTATACTCCTGCAGATAACGAAGCGCTGGTCACGATTACTCATAAATTGAACAACTTAAAATACAGGTGTTGGAACCGCAACAACTTTAACTCATTTTTTTCGTATATTACAAACTTGTTACTGGACGAATTTAAGAAAGTACGGATTTTAGAGCTATTCAAAAATCAAAACTGAGCAAAGAGCAACAGTATTTATTCAGAAAGTGCTGAGACACTCTATTGTGGTAGTTTGATTTTTTGCATATCTCGTGATATTAACAATGGATGCACAGTAAGGCCAGATAAAAAATGTTTAACCTCAACATTAGTAATAGTTCCCTTTATCTAACTGGTTATTACATTTAATATTTGAAGTGCTGCCCAGATTCAAGTAGTTATTAATTAAAAAACAAATGGGAAGGAGAAGGAACCTAAAACTGTCAAAGATCTTAAATCTAAAACTATCAAAAATCTAAAACTAGTATGCCATGGACACAGTTAGAACCAGTTAATTAATCGAGTGATATTAGCGGAAAAAACCAAAAAAAAGAGGGCTTATCTTTCTCAGTTTTAAGCATTTCCATAAAGATTAAGACCAATTTCTGTAGATGTGATTCATCGCTTTAGTATGTTGAAAACTCAATCACTCTTACTCTATATGTGTGAAAATCCCGCTAAATTTTTGTCGTAAGTAACGAATCAGACTGTGGAAATACTAGAACACTGGTTCGGACGCTTCATGATAAACTAAGTTTGCGCAGATACCGAATTTATTTGGATCACTTTTTTCCACATTTTGCTGAAAATGAATGAAATGTATGGTTTGTATAGTGATAACGGTATATTTTTTTTCTTACGAAATTAATAGCAAGTGTTCAGTTTTGTTATAGCTTTACTGTTTTTATCTTCGATGGTCTCTTTTTTGCTGGCTGCCTGATATTCATCTGTCGCAAATGTGATGTGAATAAAACGGCTTGAGCCCAACCGGCGTATGGGCCAAATATTTCTTGCCAAACAGCTGCTGAAAATTTTTTACATGATCTATGAAGAAATGACACTAATCCAGCACTGAAACAGTGACACTTGAATATTGCCACTTAATACATTATTTGGCAGAAATTTAGATCACACTTAACCATAACGAGGTCTTTTTTCAAAATCTTAAACCTGTAACAACTAATGTCAAGCTTCAAATAAATTAGAACCAAGCGAAACTGAAGTCATACCAATTTGTTGTCGATCTTTCCCTCGTAAAAATTTTCTTTGCGACAAAGTTTTCAAATAATTTTCTGCTGTAATTTGTAATGTATGGGTATCAATTGGTACAACAGAATGCATGCGTAGTCCCATTAAACATATGCAGTCTGCAACCTTGAAAAAAATCACAAGAAACTGTTATGGTGTAACTGAATTGAACAAATTTTAATAAAATGGAGATCATATTATGATCTTTTTTGTACAGACCGTTATCTTAAGACAATTGTCTAGTAATGCCTTTTAATTTATTAAAAAAAATTAACGATGTAGGATAAACCGAACAACGTAAATAAACTTGCCTTTGCTCCAATCCCTCGTATTTGTTGAAGTTCTTCCACTGCATCTTCGTAAGTACCTTTCGACAAATTTTCCAGATATTGTTCCCCGTTATTTTCCTGACATAAAAATTATACGCTGTTATCAATCATACAGTTCAAAATCCATGGAAGTAAATGAGGAAAGCCTATCTGATATCAAGATCATGAGTTAATATTCTTGAGCTGTGGGGAAGAACTTGCCAGTGCTTTGGAGGCATGTGCAATGTTCAATGCGCGGTAACCAAAACCATGAACCCGCAAAACTGTTTCTAATGCAGGATCATCAGTCATGCGTTTTGGATCAGCGAAATCATAAAATGTCTTACTGCCATTCAAACAAGAAACATTAGTACTTTCGCCGTACAGCTTACACAATGTCTCAACCATGTCTAAACTCAAAAAACAATGATTTTTAAGGAATGGTTAAGAAATATTTTACCAACAAAAACAGGCCGTCTCTCTAGACAAAAACCTATTTCAATGTACTATGTGGAATATAGAAGTTGCTCTCATTATGTTTGATTGCATCATAACCTATTATTTAATGAGAAATAAGCCAAGTTAAGGAAGTAGCACACGATCATTATTCCATAAAATCAATAAGATGTGTAAAAGTGCACTTGTAATACGTCGGATGTGATTATTTGCAGAACAAATGAACACAAAAACAGTTTCCAATGGATCTTGCCCAAGGACACGAATTCCTTCCAACTTCGTCTGATGATTCGCCATAAGATGAGCGAAATGCTTATCATTTTCGGTCCAGAATTTATATAATGGCGCTAGTTCGATATTAAGCTGAAATACATCATGAATTCGATACTAAGCTAAAATACATTATGTACTTCGAGAGAAATGCTATTTCATCTAACTGATGGCATTTTATATTTCATTGTGTGCATTATTAAAATAAAATGGCAAAAGATATGGATTCAAAAAGTACGAATTAATTTCTAAATTGAAACTATTTATAAATGCAACCGCAAAAGAAGCAATTTTGCTTCGATGCAATTTTATCTGGATCTTGTCAGCCTTATCTAATTCTTAATCTTTACAGTTTGAACTACAAAAACTTCAGTTCAAAAACAATTATTAAACTCGAAATTTCTGTCACATCTAAATTTCTATATTTTTCCAGAATAACTGTTTTGAAACAAGAAATGCAAAACAAAGCTATTCATTGCTGAATCAACTAGCCTGGAAATAATCTTTAAGAACATCCAAATCATCGCCACGAGCTTTCGAAAACTTTGCCAGCACTTCATAACCTAATTGTTCATCAGTCTCTCTCCAAACTTTCCACACCCGATGCTTAGCAACACCAAAAAATACACCATCTGATGAAGGAGCGACATTTTCACTATCAATTTCTACCAACTTTTTCCATCTTAAAATTAAAAAAAAGCTACGAGAATTTTAATAACTAACATTGTCGTAAACAATTTGTATTTCGCTCGTCCCTTTGTATCTATTGAAATAGATATAAATTTAATTAAAAAGCAAAAATAAATTAGATTAAAATAGTTTTCAAGGAATATTATTCAAAATTCGGATCTTTTCAACATAGTCGGTTATTGGCTTCCTAGCTTCAGCCAAAGTTAAACTTCCAATAGTAACTTCATTGTTTCCAATGAAGAATATGAAAAATTTATTGAGAAGTTCCATGGTATCAGCACTGGAATCATCTCAAAAAATTTCACGTACTCTTAATTAGATAAATTTTTACGGGCTATCATTAATAACACACCAAAAGTCCACTGACAGATCACGACATGCTTACGAATATGCAAATTATAGTCATTCGTAACTATAAAAAGTAAGTTAAAAACATTGGAAATTCGTCATTCGTAACAATAAAAAGTAAGTTAAAAACATTGGAAATTTAAAACATTGAAAAAAAAACATTGGAAAAAATGTGAAATCAATTAAAAGTAATACCTGAATGACTGGCCACCTAACAGCACTGCTCCAAGGTTTAATTCTTCTTTTGAGCATTTGAACAGTGGCATATACACCAAATTATTTAAAGGCAAATAATAACCAAATAAAACAATTGAGAGATAAAACACGAAAGACGAAAACTGAAATTCTGCGGAATCCATTTTTCGCTTTCATTCTCATTTTATTGATTTACGAGCGATAAGATGAAGTGAACAAGTTATTCTGCACGTTAATTATTTATATTATTTATTATTATCATTACTATCATTATCATTATCATTATTATTGAATCAAGTAAAAATCAGTAAATTAAGGTTAGAAAGTCTCCACTTTTATTTTCAACTTACTATCAATTTCCGGTTCTTCATGTCTTGAAGCGGAATTTCCCTATGCTCTTCTCTGAAACTGACGAGCTCTTCCTCTTCCTAAACTACTCAATCCTTTTCATTCTTCCCTTAGCTGCTAAACGTGTGATTTTATTTGTTTGAAACTCATCGAATTACAAATTAATTTGTTTACTTATTAAGCTGCTTATTCGAATACTTACAAATGAATGCTTCTCTTTTTCATTCTTCAGCCTTTTCAAAGAATTATTTAGGAGAAACATATGTCCATCCCTTCAATGTTAATATTTTTATCACATTTATCATGTTTATCATGCAATACTTAAATGTTAACGCTTACTATCGATCTGGTCTAACCTGCTTGTCAATAAAAGCCTTAATAAATCCCGATGAATTCTTAGTCATGCATGCATGCATCGCTCATCAATTTTCCGCTGCATTATATAATGCTTTGCTAACTGTAGCAGCTCAGATAGCATAGATATTGTTGGGTTCTGTAGGCAGCGATTGTAATGGATAGGGAGCGTACGCGTGCGGACGGATGGTATGGGGGCATGCGAGGCGTGACACGGGAAGGCCGTGTTTGACGGTGTTGGTGAACGCTGTGAGGTTAGCTGCATTACGGAGTGTTGATGTTTACGCTGAATGTAATTAACAGTGTTGAGTGAATTTCAGGCTGCAAAAGATGTACAGCAATGCCAGGAGCGCCTCGAAAGAAATGTGCTGAGAGGAAGCTATTAGCAGTAAAGAATAGAGGGAAAAAAAGGGTACGACCGATGGCACAACAATCTGATCTACTCGGTAGCTTAGTTGGGGAGAACGACTCTCAACCCGGTACATTACTTACTATTATGCGGTAAAATCCAGAACTCGTAACTGGCGATGATTAGCTGAGGAGAGGAGAATTTGCAGTTATTGGAGTGAGTTGTTGAAAGCATTGCATTTAAAAATTTGCATGCTGCTAAAAGGGTACATTTTATCGCTATTAGCAATTATTCTAGTCGAGGATAGTTGATTGCTGCAAATTTAAATATCAAAAAAGTCTTTTGAACATTTTCATTTGCCTCGTTGAATTCCATACACTTGAAGGATCGTTTTTAGGAAATAAATTATCGTCGAAATTTGTTTCCGTCAAATTAATCTTAAGATTTTAGAGATGTTTCGGAAATTTTTAAAACATGAACAACGCGAAACACCACCACGTTTGGTATGTTATTTTTTGATAGAAACTTTCTAAAGATTAAAGTCAAGGTAGGTAAAGCAAAAAGGGAGTGCTTATGGAAAAGCTTAGCAACAAACTTACTGGAAGAAAAATGGCGATAATTAATACAGTTCTAATTAGATATGAAGATAACGAAAGGCCATACGTAAAGAAAAAGAACATGAAACATGCATGTACCTTTGGTATGACTTTATTGGAGGAACTCTATTTAAAACGATTTTTCAATACGTTTTTACTTTTAACGTTTTTTCTTGCAGTCTCCGGCAGTCGATGGTCTCTCGAATGATCTTAGTGTTTCCCCAGATGATAGTAACAGCAACAATGCAGATACTAGGAAACCCTGTATATTACTTCCGAAAAATAGCGATGACAGTCAGGGGTCACTGTTGGATAGAAAGGATGAAGTTCAGCGACTGCTTTCGAAAGTAAGATTTTCCGATAGTGGAAGCCTAAAAATCTATCTTCAACGTTTAGTATCGGATGTATTGTTGCATTGTAAATTAATCATGACTGTTATAATGGGTTTGACGGGAAGAGTACAAGGGATTGTTATGAAATTATATGATGAAATTTAGGCCTGAAGAGATTTACCTTTTTTTATTAATCATGACAAGAAATTTTGTTACAGTGGTACGCTTGAATTGCGTAAGTCCTATTATATTACTATCGATTTCACTGACATAGGTTGATAAGGGGACAATCCCATATGCGCTTATTTCGAGAGTAAGTTTCAAAATTCATCTGTGGTTTCTAGACCGCTGAACAGGAAATGCCACAGCTCGACAATGAATGTCAGAATGCTGCATGTGGTAAGGTTCTAGTTTTTCAATTATTGTACTCAGTTCACTTTCGGATGGGTTTATTCTGCGGCACTTTGCGACGGTGGCGGGCCCATGCCCTATCCATCACAATCGTAAGGTTTTGAAATCCACTTCATTCTATTCATATTCATCGTACAACTAATGGTATGAAAAAGGGCTGTAAACATCAAAAAAAAGTTAGAAATTGATTAGCATTATAATGAAGTGATTTTAGGACAGGACAATGGTACTGATCCTGAATCGGTAGCAACATCTTCAGTGCATTCAGATGATACGCCACCCCGTTTAACTGCTGCCCAAGTTGTAAGTTTATTCATAGTCGCTCGGTAAAAATATAAGAATCATTTAGAAGGATATAATGTTTTAGCAAATTTTGCTCGTTTTTCTCCATTCATTTTCTTATTGCTTGTTTTTTCGAATGATCAGAATTTTTATTCAGAGCTCGTCATTTGCATCAAATGTGATGGATGAAGAAAGCCGTGGAGAATACTGTGACGATAATGCATCACCTCCACCTCTTGATAAGTACGCATCTGCTGCATCGTCACCAATAGTTCCTGGATCCAGAGCGAGAGATTCAACACTGTGGACTTTACGCCTCAGACGGCGTCCATTTTATACATCTTTGTTTAGTTCAGCTTCTGAAGCTGGTCCTTCGGTGAACAAAAGAAGTTGCTCAGAAGCAGACTGGGCAAACAGGCTAGCGGAAGTGCTCAGGGAGTTGCATCCCAGTCAGCTAGTACTGGCAAAAGAAACCATTCATTCAACAGTTGTCAAAATTTTAGCACAAGAAATAACGTCTGATATATCATGTCTTATGAATTTGATTGAAAATCAGGATCGCCGCGCTGCTGCTTTCGAAAGAGTTCTTAAGGATTTGAAGAAATTTAAAGCTGATTGCACTTATGATTCCGCTCTTTAACTTCCTTTTGTTGATTGGTTCACCAATCTTTATGACTATTTTGCAACCAATGAAGTACAGGTACTGTTAGGTAATGCTCAAAAATACCAATAAAATGAGTTGACTTAAAGTACTTATATTTATTCGCTTATTTCGTCGCTGTCGACGCAAACATCGTTTTAATCAGCCAGATGAATTATCTGTTTTGTGGAGCTTTGAGTACGAAAAGTTTCTGTTGTATTGAAGTTTAAGCTGATGACCCTGATATCTCAAAGCATCTCATTCTTCGTCAAGCAATACGTAGTAATTTGCAGCTTTTTTCACGTTAGAATTGGCGTAACATTCTCGGTGATTTGATATATTTAGTTACGTCGATCAGTTCTTTTATCTATTTAGCCGCTTTCCGTTCTTCATCAGCTGTCCTAAAGCCATATGAACCCTTATATATAAATGTAGTATTTGAGCTCTGAAATGTTATTTGGCGTTAATTTTGTTATGGCATTAACGAGATTGTTATAACTGTCCGTTAAAAATGTGATATGCATTGAATGAGGGTTTTATTTTCATCTCTGTCCGTTTATATATTAATTTGACTTTTTTATCGCTTGTTAATTTTAGCTTTATTTTGCTTCTATATAAAGTACAATTTTAAATTCTACAAATCTCTTGTTTGTTATGATCCGCTTCTAGTCGGCGCTTTTTAATTTCTATTATCAAGCAAGCAGTTTTGGGATTCTGATAGTTTAGTAATGTTTGGAAGCATTGTGAGAGATTGCGGTAACAGGTTTTTCTGGATAACCCATAAGTTGATTAATATTGTTCGCGTTACATTGTAGGTCCTCTGGTATCATTTTAGTTGCAAAGTGCTTTTTGAATGATACATAACAGATTAGATGACGGCCGGTTTATAAGAAAAAATGGAATCGCATATGCAATCATATCGATATTTTACCAAATCAGATGGAGTTATTGAACAAGGAGTATTTACATTATTGTTTATGTATTACATGAAGGTATAGGTGATAGGCTATTAATATTATCTTAAAAGAGTTTTACCTATAATTGTCGACCTTTCATTAAGTAATACGAGAGGTTGATTTAAATGCAAAAGGATATTACAAGTGTTGGTTTATAAATTCATAATACAATTTTTGCCACTATACTTTAAAAAGTACTCTCGGATGTTATTAAAGTGTACACGCAGTGCAACAGTATCATATTAATTTACTCTGCGGTTGACCAGTTTTCTGAGATTTCAAACACGACATGTGATGGAGATGTCCGGTCCAGGTGATTTCGTATCAGATAATCTTGCGTCGGGTGGTGCGGTGTGTGGTACAGCAGTGGCTGCAGGAACACAAGAAACATCGAGTAGCAGCGCTCCTGCCAAGGTTTTTAGATTTTCCTTCTCTAGTGTGCCTATTGCTGTAGTGTAGGGATTCCTAATTTATCAGTACTTTCGATACTGCATAGGATTAAATTTTATGTATGTCTCAACTTCTAGCTTGAACTGTTACAGAAACCCAAGAAAGCATGTCGCGCCAGAACTGGTTATATGTTATTCCACGGTGAAGCTAGAAAACGCATCCGAGCAGCACATCCTGAATTGAACTTTGTTGAAGTGAGCAAACGTGTCGGCGAAGAGGTAAATTATTATGCATGTGTTTTTATCTTGATTAGATGACTTGTGTTATGTAGCATTTACGATTATATCGCTAGTTGGTTGTAGATATTTGGTAATTCATAAATTATTTACAGTGGGCTAAAGTATCAGCTGAAGAAAAGAACAAATATAAATTGCGTGCAGAACAGATTGCAAAGGAAGCAAAAGAGGACGACAGTCAAAAAATTATTTTGGTAGGTATTCCTTCTTTATTACCATCATCAAGGATAACATTTTGCATTGCAGCGGAGTAGTTATATTATTTAGCTAAACAAGGAAATGGCTTGTAAAGTGTAATTGATTTTTTTCAGCCACCTCCTGGAAGAATTCTCGTTTATCAATGTATGTGGCAGAAATGTGATATTCAGGCAGATACATCGGATGCACTTTACGAACATATCAAAACTACACACAATATGGAATACTTCTGTAAATAATTATTTTATCGGTATACTCGGTAGTGATACAGCTTAAATGCTAGTAATCCAGTGCCTCATGTAGCGTTCAAATGTGATGTATCCTATATTTCAGAGCAGACCGATACTTTTTTGTTTGGAGATATTGCAGAGAATCTTTGCCAAGTATAAAATTCATAAATATAATCGATTAAAGTAATAAGTAATCTCTTAAGTATAGCAAAATTTTATATTTGTTTTAATCAAAAAAATTTTTTAGCGCAGGGCGAAAAACGTTATGCTTGTTTATGGTCTACATGTTTCAGAAACAAGCGATATCCAAGGTGATTTAACCCTATGACAGGATTTAAGATTAGCATTGATTTTTTCTTTTCCGATGTTGTGCTCTATAACTGAATTTAACTGATGATTTGGCTATTACTTTTACCTTTCTTCAAAAGACTTGTATGCGGTGATCAGGTTTATAATTGTGAGACTAAAATATGGTGTGTTAAGATAATCTTGTGAAGAATTTGAACATTTTTCAGATCATTTTCACTGCTTCCTCACCTACAGCAGCATATTAAATACAAACATTTACCAAGGTGCGCACGATTTATCACACCAGATAAAAAAAGCAAGTAAGCGTTCTACAGCATTTATTTGTTTATGGATTATATTTTGCTAAGGAAAGCTATACAAACAGCTTTATTTGAGTACCGATTGCAAGTGCTCTGATGACTGAATATATTAAATTCAATATGAAGATTCTGTACTGTGGGATGCGAACTCATTTGATATTTCACTATGCAATGTTTTAAAAAAGAATTAGACAAAAATTGACAGCTTCTTAATGTTTTATCTTTAATTAACTTTTGTTTTTCCAGAAACTTCTTTAGTTTGACGTCATCTGCATCCACACCTACAACTGAATCTACGAGTTCGGTGCGATCATATGCACGAAAGACACATCCTTTAGTTACTCTCCACACACCATTTGTCTTGCCATCCTCGCATGGGCAAATGCAAATTGCTCCAGCATTTATGATCCCACAACAGCAGTCCAGTAATTTCCCACAAGTTAGTTTTTTTGTTCTCATATGTTATTATTTCTCACACTCGTCGTTTTTTATCCTATGATCAACAAGTAAAAACAGAAAATATTTACATCATAAGGCAAAAGAATGCATAATTTCGATTAATTTGCAACTGATATACTTTATGCTTTTGGTTTTATGGACAATTCACATCATTGTGAATTATTGTGAAACCCAATGGTTGCTGTTTTAAAGGAAGTTGATGTTACATCCTTCAATATTCAAAAGCCTAAATTTGCCTAAATTTAGTACCTAAATTTTTGTCTGATTTTTGCTGAATTTTGCATATAAACTGATGCAAGATAATTTTTGTTATCAGATATGGCAAATCATTCAACATTCGTTTTTAGGATGGTTTTGCATATGCGTTGAGCGCCAATACATCGGGACAGCCATTCACCGATGGTGGTGTGGCCATAGCGATGCTGGAACAAGAAGGAAACAAAGGTCCCACGAACTCCGAATCATCAGCACTTCAGCAAGCATTTTACTCAGGACAGCAATATTTGCCAAATTCGAACAGTGCGTGGACGGTTCCCAACAAAGGTACTCGATCTCCGGAATTCAGCAACGGATAGTGGATTTTTTCTTCGGACTGGTATGCATAGCACTGCTTGGAAACTTTTCATGCATTGGTTGTGACATGCTTGAAAAGATGCTTGGTTATCCATGTTTTTATTATTCAAATAATGCTGCGCAGTTGGGATATTTGACAATTTTAGGATATCATTTTAATTCTAAGGTCAAACATTTTTTCCATTGCGAACACGCGTAACTGAAATTATCCTAGCGGCTGCAGATTGGAATGAGATTTTTGATTATGTCGTTGAAGGAAAAAACATTTTGGTTGAAGTACCATCATCTTCTTAATCAGTTGTTATTCGAGAGCTGTTGTATTGTTATAACGGAATTCTTCTCAGGCCTCTAGGCACGCGAAGTGCATTTCTTGGACTTCCAATACATGCCTTTTGCGGCTTTGAAGCTGTTGCTATGAGCAGTTTTATTATTTGTACCTTTGTTTTTATTTTCCAACAAATTTGAAGTTTTCTTTTCAAAGTCTTTTTTTGTGACATTTTTATTTCAGTAGATCGAAATGTACTTGTCATTTTTGTTTTCTTGTCAACACAGTATAGTTTAAATTAATCAGCTATCGAATATTTGAACAAACTTAACAAATATGTCAAGTAAGAAGTGCAATGAATTGTAGTGTTTACTCTAAAACAAAAAATCACTAGACCTATTGTTACGGAAATGTTTCCAAAAAAATTACAGTTCTCGTCAAGTAAATGCTGGAAAGGTTAAGCACCAGGAATATTATTTACCTTTTACATGATCGCATTTGTAGCCTTTATATTTACTACTATTTACTGAAATCAATTTTGAAATGTTTTTAAAATGAAACTTTTCTGATATTTTTAAGTTGTGGAATTTGTTAACTTTTTGTAAAGCATAAATGTATCATTCCATGTCGGTTACTCGCTTTGTGGAGTACCTTGTTTATTTTTTTCTACATTCATTTATGCACATTGATTGATTTCAACTTTTGCAGAAAGTCACTTTAATTCTTTAAATTTTTAAAATTGATTTTAATATTAGCTATTTATATGTTGCCTTTTTGATATGAGATATGTGTTTGAATTCGGTAATACAGTTCTTTTTATTTCGGTTTTTTCTAAAAATATTTTATTTTCTAAAGAATTTCGTCCTAATTAAATATTTTGTTCGCTTGGCACTTTTCTCTTCTATATTTGTAAGGTGAAATTATTGTGACAGTCTTCGATAATACAGTCCCTTGGCTTGGCATAATTGTTTTTTCATCATTTTTTTTTTTCAATCATTAGTGGCGTTTAGTGTGTTACGATACTATCTTATTTTTCGGATAGCTGGCAAAGGATTTTGATCCATTCGTTCATTTTGCTTTGGATTGATCACTTCGGGTGGGATAGTTTCTTAACACCCTTCGTGTCTTCATCTTCCTGATTTTTATGCATTTTTTGTTGTGAAAAGTGCAAGGATCGCACGCATTTTTTGATTCATTTTTAATTCAATTTATGTTATGTCATGTTTCCACATAGTTCACACATTTATTATCAATTATTAATATTATGTTTGTTATGGTATATATTTTGCTCGGCAATTTAATTGTTTGAGTCCTGACATGTATTCTAAAACTTACTAAGATATCTTCCCTATCAGACAAACGAAAGCTGTGGAATTAACAAAAAATGACCAAAAAAGAAGCCGGAGAACAAGCTTTTATTACATGATGGATTAGATTTTCCGGGAACTATATCCCAAGTGGAATGGAGAAGAAGCTTTTATTGAATGACGGATTAGATTTTTTGGGAGCTATACCCAAGTGGAATCCAACGATTTTGTTCATCCCGCATCAATCCTTCCTTACCGTTGTTTATGATTATTATTTGACCATGTCATCAGTTCTGTGTTTTTTTTTTAATGCATTTCTTTATTCTGTTTTAATATATGGACAAAACACCGAAATGTTAGTTATATGCAGTCTTATCAATTACTGTATGGATTTCAGGGAGTAATCCTCATTGTTATAATATGGTGCACTGCATACGAAGGTTTATTTCACAATTGGGCTAAAGTATGTTAAAAATTTCGATAAGAAATAACGTTGAATGAGGGACTAATCCTCATTATTTTAATGTGGTGGGCTGCATACGAAGTAGACATAATATCTTCGAAATTAATTGAAACACAATATCTTCAGAATTAACGAAACACTAGTAGGTGAGGAAGTTGGTATTGTTTCTGCTTGAAAAGTTTATTTACCTTTAGATGTTTCACATTGAACTTTCGCTGATCACCATTGTGAATTGACATATAGACACAAGGAAGGAAGTAACCCGAAGATATCATTGCGTCGAAGACTTGTGAGTGTTCAGGTGTCGATCAGTTATTGTAGACATTGTAACGAGATAGTGGAATCTTCGATTTTATAATGAAATTGAAATTTAAATTTCGTGTGGTGTGATGTTAAATTACGAGCTATATTAACCTACGAGCTATAACATATGACGGCCGAACAATGAACGGTGCATCATGAAGCCGTTTAAAAAGTTCAAATATGAAATACGCGACCCAATATTTAATTAACTTTTGCAGATTTCGTTCCTGTTCCGGACAATATAAGCTGCGAATTATTGGCTAAAAATATTCCTCGGAATCGTGTAATGATTAACGGGAAAGGTTTGTTAAAGAAAACGAAATATCGTTTGTTTCGTCGATGATATGAATACCTCTGTCGCAACTGAGAAGACCGGAAATACCGGTAACAATACGATTAACCTGGAATCTTTTAGATTCAAGGAAATACTTGGCGAGGATGCCGCTCACAAGGTAGTCCATCTTTCTCAAGAATTTAATGAATAAAATAAAAAGAATTATGTGATCAACTCAGTCATTAAACTATCAATTTTTGAAAGAGATGGCGTGATTTGAAACTTTCCCACATTTATTTCAATATATTGAATTTTCTTTCCAAGTACCGAACAAATTGTAAACTACTCAGTTAAGTGACTTCCACAAATTCTAGATCAGCTTAAAATTTCCTAGTTGCTATTTAGGTTTATCGGGAAGGTTAAAATAATTTTTAATTTTACCTGTTAACTTTTCTCTTTGAACTTTGTGTTAAATTTTGTTGTTAATGATTCTATTTAAGGTAGCTTTTGTGCTACTGGATGTGAAGGGTTATGGTAATCAAGCTATTATGATTGCGGAAAGGACTCCTTTTCCTAAGAATGAACAGGACTGGAATACAATTGTCTCGCATTGTTCATTAAAAGCTGTATCAACTAATGACATATATTCAAATCTCATTTTATTCCCACCAGAGAAGTTTGCTGGTATAATCGTTTTTTATTGTTATCAAGATTTAATAATCTTGAGAACATCGAACTAGATAATTTTTCACAAACTGTATGATGATTTACAGTGACCGTTTGGTAGTAATTTTTCCTTCTGAACAATTCCCAAGTACAGTTCTGGATAGGATACAGTCACCTCTACACTTTAATCAGATAGTGATGTAGTCAGTATTAAAGTTCTCTAAGATAATGAGGTATAAAAAATACACATAAGGGATCAAGGCGACGTTAATAAATCCATGTACTGAAAAGCATATTACGAAGTATCGGGATCAGAAGCGATATGTCATTCATGAAACGCCCGATGATTACAAGTCCATCACTTTACCTTATCTGGAGGAACATCAGTTCACATTGAAGGTGATCTTTTTATGAAAAATTTTCAGTTTTATAAATTCAAATTTTCCATCGATCTAAAATCATGTAAATCTTAGGTTTCGTTCTGTATAAATAAATTTTCTGCCTTTACTTTTGCTTTCAGTGGATTTTCAATTTGTTGGAGCACAAGGCGGAAGTGGACCGTATTATTTTTGATGATACAGATCCACAGAATGGTTTTGTTCTTGCCCTTGATATCAAATGGGATGGGAAGAATTTGGAAAATCTTTATGTCTTAGCAATTATCAGGCGAAAAGGGATTAAATCTATTCGGTAATTAAATATTCCCTCTTTTCCTAAACTGAGAAATATTAAACTGTCACATAGCATTGTTTCACGTTCCATAAATGGCATTCCAACGGCGATTCGGTGACAGTTAAGTAATTTATAGAAAATAGAATTGTGTGTGATATTGTAAACTAAAAATAAACATTTCAAATTTAAAACATAATTCTTAGCAGTTTTAAAACTTTTTTCTTGATTGCTCTTGCTTTTAATTTTTGCTTTCTTAAATCTTAAAAGACCGCTTATTTTAATTTTTCAGTTGTCTAGAAGTTAAAAGACCGCTTATTTAATTTTTTTTTCTGTTTGTCTAGAAGTTTCTGTTTCATTTGAGAAATCGAATAGTTTAGCAAAACAGCGCTGATAACGTACTTCTTATTTTATTAACACTAAAATGTATCAGTCTTATTACTTTCAGAGATTTAACTGTCAATGATCTTCCGCTGCTGGAGAATATTTCTCAAAAAAGTTATACGGCAATTACAGAAAAGTATGGAATTGATAAGCATCAGGTAGTTTCCGGCTAATAATTTAAAATTTTTTTATTTTTCACTCTTTACCATACATTGTAGTGGCTATGCTTATGCAAAAGAATATCCACAATATATTATTGTTTTGATATCATAGCCAGGATGACCGTGCACTACTGTGCATATTTGTATTACCTTCGTGGCTTTCATTCATTGAGAATTTCTACCGAATTTTCAAGTCCTCATCGAGCTGAATAGCAATATGAGGTTTTCTCTTGAGGTGAAATCAAATTTCATTAATTCCGCAGGTTAATCTTCCCTTGGGCACAGAATCGGGATTAATTTTACGTACTGTCCATAAAATGCTCTTTAATTACGTTAATTTGTCATTTAAAAATTGAAGCACCAATGGAAGGCCTAACGGTTCATCTTCTCTGGCAGTTGTAAGATGCTTATTAATATGTTATTTTCAGTGTAATAGCAAAGGAACTCAGTTTATTCATTTTTCAGATTCGAGCTTATTTTCACTATCAACCGACCTTCTATCATTTACATGTTCATTTCATCCACGTATCATACGATGCACCTGCCAGTGGTGTTGCAATGGTTTGCTTTTTCAATTTTGATTTCCTATAATAACTCAATTTCTATGTTTAAATGATGTTAAAAAAGTTTAAAAATCTCGAAAAATCAAATGCAGAATTTTCGAAATTTATAATGGAAAAAATCTGATTTTTCTATTCAACTGTTTGAGGAAAGCCTTACAAACTGATAGTGTAGTTTTTTTTTTTTTCGAATGACAGGATAAAGCTGTAACACAGTTCGAGTTCTTTATTATTCATTTTGTTCTATTTTTATATATTTAGGTATGAAAGAATTAAATCATTGTGGTAATCCTTTTTGATCTGTTCTCTTCTGTTTTAAGGCTTATCTCTTAGAGGATGTAATCAACAACATAAAATTGGTTCCTGATTACTACCAACGTTCTACACTAACTTTTACCGTGAAGGAGAACAACCCATTGCTGAAGCTATATCGCGACACATACCGATGGTAACATCTGAGCATTCGTTTGCTGCAGGAACATTTACCCTCAATTTTTGTTTATCCGTTTGGTTAGAATCATTCGACACTTTGACACTTGACATCCAATGACACTTTTTCCATTATTTTTTCCAGTTTTTAATTCTGCACGTTTGATTATTTATCATATTGTAGAATCGATTTGTTTTATATGCTATAATTTCAATTCAACTTAAAGATATTCCAAAACTTCCATTCCTTTTTATTTGGCACCATTATTGAATGCTTTAGAGGTGAGACGTTCTTTCTTTATAGTTTTATGCTTATTTTAGCTTTTCCTTTTTCCATTTTTATTGGCTAGATAGCTATTTGAGATGTCAACTGCTTAATTATTCCATACTTAACTAAAGAACGTGCGAAGAGTAATTTCAAAATATTGTCGCTTGTTTGCTTTGGTAATAATCTTATAGTAAAATGGTATATTGATATATAATTTATGTGATTTTTATGGTTTGTGAACCATACGAAGATTTTTGCCTTTTTTTTTTGATTTCTCATGTTTTCATATAACATATAATGAAATTTTAGCTTCTGATCAAAATGATTTTGGTGTTAACAGTTTAATCTGCTCTTACTTTTTTGTTTTTCCTATTTTTAATAGTTACCTTTCATTTGCTTATAAACTTGATGGCAACAATGTTTAGTAATTTCTGGTCATTACCTTCATTAAAGAATACTACAACCTTTAGAAATACATGCTTCTGTTTTGTCCAGAATGCGGTTCGTCCTTGCAAGTTGAGGAGGGTTCCAATTGTTATCAGTTCAGTTGCCATAACTGCCCATACGTACAACCAATTACCAAACTTGTTAGTTTTTATTTATCTTAGTTTACAATAAATTTATATTGTTTACAATAACTTTTGATTAAAACTAAGCTAACTTCATTCCTTTCTATTTTCTTGATATTTCCTTTTCTTGATCATGGCCACTATTTAGATTTACGTTAAATGAACGAGTATATCCAAACACCATTTTCTTATTCATCTAAATAAAGTAATTCGAAAAAATTTTTTAATTTTTATTTTTGTTCTGCACATAATTTGGCATGAAGTTTGTAATTTTTTACTTCTTTTTCCTGCGAAGTTTACTTTTTCTGAAGGCTGACTTTTGAAAGGTAGTTTGTCTTGAATTTTTTCTTAAGAAAAGTTACGAATTGGAAAAGTTACAGATAAAGAGTCGGCACTATCCGAAGCTGAAAGATTTGGACGAAGTTCTCGGTGGTCCTGGCGCCTGGGAAAACGCTCAAATTACAGACGGTTATCTTTGAAAATCTTGGAAATTATGTTTATGGATAATATTGCATTCCCATTATTTTTCTTTTGATGTTACAGAACGTTGTCCACGTTGTGCTGGTAGTCGAGCATATTTCATGCAATTGCAAACGCGTAGTGCTGATGAGCCAATGACTATTTTTTATCGTTGTGCCAATTCGGAATGTGCACATCGATGGAAAGAATAATCAATATCGGTATATGAAAATGTTGTACACTTTTTATATTATTAAATTAGTTGCTAAATTGGCAAACTATTCGACATGTAAAATAAATGGAACATTTCATGAAGCCTTTTTTTTCTGAAGGCTTATTAGGGATCATAACATCATACACTTAATCGAGCAGACAATATTCAATAGATTATCCCTTGATAGTAAATGCATTTAAATATTTTCATAAGTTAATATCCACATTTTAACAGATTGCTCAATATATGAGGATTAAAATGATGTAGACAGAATCTTTTAAATTGATCTAAAAATAGTAGACTTAAGCATATTTCCTTTGGTTAATTTCTTTTTTCTTGATTGTCTCCGGTTTCCAAGTCACAAAGAATAATTGGATTGAACGTGTGATCTTTCAATTTCAATAATACTATAGTTGAAAAGATTTCAGAAAAGGATTAGCATTACTAGCACTCGAATTATTCTACTCATTAATTGTTCTTTTTGTGGTTCATTCAAAACCTGAAATTGATTATGAGGAAAATGTATTTATTTCAGGAATGGATCTTCTCTTCTCTGGATTTATATTTTTTCAATTCATAGTCTTTTGTGGAGTTTGGATTGTATTCATTATGGGTGTATTTGTTGTTGTACGTCTCTTATTATCCAATCACTTATGTTCAGTCACTTGTAATGTGATTGCATTTGGCATTTCTAGGTTAGTTAAAATCGCATTTTGTTGTCATCACCGAATGTCATTTTCTAGGTTTACTATGAACACAAAATGATTTTCCAATCAACAAAGTGCAACTTGATGTCTTATTGTTTTTTCGTTTAGAGAAAATATTTTTTTCAGCTCATTGATTTTCCAACTTGTCACGCTTTATAACAAAAGTATAGCAGCTCAAAAAATGATCCTCGACAGAGGATCACCTTTGGATTGCGTGGTAAATTTTTTTTAGTGAGGAATTGGTGAGGTTGAAAAAGGGTAAGAGGAAAGAGCATCGAGAAGATTCTATCATACTCATCTTATTTCTCATTTAATATTCCTGTAGAAATGACCCCTATGTTGGTAGATATTAAATCCCACTATTCCTGGTCTTTCAATCCATTCTTCATTCATGCCAATCCAGATTACTCTTGTTAACGTTTTCCAACAGAATGAAATGTGTTTATTTACTCATATTTCTTTAAGAGTTTCCTCTGGTTCATTGGTCCACTGTCATCACATTCGTGTTTCGACTACTATGAAGCTCTTCAAAGCAACATTTTCTGGCAGTTGAATGTTGTGCATGTTTCGGGAACATTACTCAAGAATACCCTAATTTTGGTCACGTCAATGGTAAAGTTTCGTTGTTATTATGGTACTACTTATCTGTGCAATATGTTCGAGTATTCCAGTGCAATTGATGAATCACTGTTAGAATTGTTAAAAAGGTTCTTAACTAAGAATTCATGAAAGTTTTACCAGTATTGTTGATGGAAGTGATATAATTAGGGGTTGCATATCCAGCTATTCTGCATTTCTCATTTTAAGAAATTAATTCTGCACAGAGCAATGATAGGTTGATTAACAAACTGATAAGTGGAATGCAGTTTGTGTGAGGTGAAAATATAAAATTGTTAGATGGATGGACAAGTACAGAGCTAAAATGTTCTCGTCGATAAATTAAAAGGGAACGAAGTACATGACTCGTCGCCAATGATTATTTCTTTCTTTGGAAAAGCAATCTCGATTTGCAGTTTGGTGGTGCGCTTGGTGAATTTCTACAGTCATTCATCAGTAAACTTCATTGGCTGTTTCATATACCCGTGTTCGTTGTAATTTCGCTTTGCATCCTGCTGACCATCCTGGCCTTCTTTAATTATCGTTTTAATTTGTTCTACGGATTAATTCGGACTGAGAAACAAATCACGAGGTATTATATAATTATATCTGTCAATTATGTAATGTTGTAAAAAGGAACAGAAAAAAAAGCGGATATAGCGAAGAAATAACTCAACTAAACAACTAAATGACGTAATAACTTCTCAAAAAATTGATTAGAAGTTAATATGTCATTTGGTTGGCCAGTTGAGCTATTTCTTCGCTTGATAATGCCAGATCCAATTAACGATTGTTTACAGGCCTGCTGAAAATGTATCGTTTCGTGACAGTATCAAGCAGCAACCGAACGAAAAGTTTGTTGAGTGCAAAAGAGAAATAAAATCATTATTACTGGTTAATGAGCTTTATCAAAAAGCACATGCTTACAACTCATTTGTAAAGTCTAAGTAAATTGTAACATTGACTGGCGGTACTTCGATGGCATAGATCTTATTTGGGTACCAAGCACATCACTGTCAGATTTGCATGAATTAGATCTTTTTTTGCGCTACACATATGGTTTGAGTATCTCTGTAATCATAATCCTATTTTTTAGAATAAAGATTTCATAAATCTGATAATCCTTCAATTTTTGTAAATTACTTTAAAGTTGGATCTTCGGAGTTTTGTTTGCTTTGCGCGAATTTGGCGATGTTAGTCCTAAGTTTTGGATGTTATACCACGCACTGGCTTCACTTACTGCTATCTTTCTATCATTTACCTTAGATAGATTGGTCACATTTTTGTGTCCCTATTGTATTTCACCCGTATTTTTATTATTCAGTCGTGTGCAATAAAACAGTGAATTAAATTCATTTTTCCGATGTGTGACAGAGTAATAAGTAATGTATTCAAAGCATCCTTCTCCTAAAGCATGTTTCTTGGATGCTGCTTACATGATTATACATGTGAATATCACTGAGGACAACTGAAAGCGATCAGTTACTGAATATTCGTCTTTCAAAATCTGCCCTTATTTCAGGTGATCGATGAAAACGTTACCATAATCGTTATGCAATACTGAGTTGTAGTTCTCCACTTGCATACTCGGTATCCGTAATTCGTTCGGATAACAATGAAGTCTCCTTCTGACAAATCCAAGAGATATTGAGAGATCTTTTTTCTTTTTTCGCCCAACTTTTCTGACTGGTTGTTTTATCCTCTCCTTCGTTCACATCACCCGAAAGTTTCAAATTTAGGTCCAGCAAGAAAACGAGCAAAATACGAATGTGTATACTTTAAAAGTGCTGTTTCTTTCTTTCAGAGTATTATTTGAAACCATGATTGATTCAGTTCGTAAATTATTCGAAATCTTCCGGGTTAGGAGACTATGAATTTATTTATCAATAACCTCATACCTTCTAGAATTAAAGTTAATGTTCAACTTGATAAACGAATTATCAGTTCGAATTCCATTTGTTCTTTAAAAAAAATGATACTCTGCATATCTACGTGATAAATCCTTATTTCTAAAGCATTCCGTAAACTGTCCCTAAAATAGCCGAAATCATCAGTTAGAAGTGCATTACCCCTAGACGGATTGATGCAAGAGACATCCCGTATCATACGTCAGTAAGACAACGTCATTACTCCATTCCAGCCAATCATCGCACAGCACGTCTGGTAACGCCTTCCAGCGATCTGATATAAATGCAATGCGTGTCTCCGCCTCCTCAATAGAGGACAACCGTTTCACTGACTGGTGGTATATTGATGGGTTGTGCATGTGTGTCACGATCTTATTTGTTTGTTAGTGTCTGGATCACGTGTTTCGTTTTTTTTTGCATGCGTGAACCTTTCTCGTTTCCTTTTCTCGGTTCCATTGTGGATGAAAATTCATGTTTCCAAATAATTTACTCTCTCTCGGGTTAATAAAAGCATCTTAATTTGATTGATTTTTGTTTTATTTTTGTTTTATTTTTGTCATCATTTTTTGTGAAATTGTTCGGAAATCTTTTGCGTAATTTAATTAGATAGAAATTAACAATAACATTCCATTGTTGTTGTTTTGGGATGGTCAGGAAAGGACTCTGTGACGATAATTAAATTTTTAGCATTATATTAATTTTGTTAATCAGTATTCTTATGCTAAAGTATATATGAACTCGCAGTATTATGAAATGCATGCTGTAAAGCTTTTCTTAATTTCTCCTTCATTTATAATACGTATTGATTAAAAAATGGGAACTTTTGCGTTACTTCTACCTATTTAATACTAATTAGTTAATGAGTGTTTCAGACGATGAAGATATTACCATTGTCTGTTATTATCGCCCTTCTGGTTATAGATGCTTTCCCAGTGGAAGCAAAAGAAGGTAAGAGTGATTCTGAAGATGAAAAAAATGTGAAATATGGCACGATCATTGGAATCGATCTTGGTACCACATACAGGTTGTTAAGATTTTTCATATCGCCGTTGTAATTTATGGGATCTTAACTGACTTATTGTATATAATTAGATAGAAAAGCGAAATAAGATGTTGCTTTTTCCAGCAGATTTATTAAATTGTTACAATTCTCCAGTGCTCACAGTTATTTGATGGGAATTTGAATAGCTAGTTTTTTTCCGAATTTGTGACAGTGTAGCTTTACTGTTGCTTATAGCAATGATGGGGAGGACTGAGACATGGGATCGATATAAATTGCATAAATTGTGATGCACCTAATTATTCAAAGAAATTTAACAGATTTAAGTAAGCAATGAGAATTGCATGTTTTACAGTTGTGTCGGTGTTTATAAAAATGGACGAGTGGAAGTTATTGCCAATGATCAAGGTAGTCGGATCACGCCGTCGTACGTGGCATTTACTCGTGATGGTCAGCGTGTTATTGGTGACGCAGCCAAAAATCAGTTAACAACAAATCCGGAAAATACAGTCTTTGATGTTAAACGTCTGATTGGCCGGCTTTATAATGATTCAACTGTGCAGCAAGATATTAAACATTGGCCTTTCCATGTGAGCTATTTTCGCTGATTTGATGATTAACAAGGTGGTATTTTTTGTATAACTTTGATCGCAACACAAAAATGAACTTATTCAGGTTGTGAATATGGGCAATAAACCGATAATAAAACTGAAAGTTGGAAAAGACGTTAAAACCTTTGCTCCTGAACAGATCTCAGCAATGGTTCTCGGGAAAATGAAGGAAATTGCAGAAGGATACCTAGGAAAGGAAGTAAAATATGCAGTCATTACAGTACCCGCTTATTTCAATGATGCACAACGTCAAGCTACCAAAGATGCGGGTGCTATTGCCAATCTCACTGTTGTTCGTATTATTAATGAACCTACGGCCGCTGCTATCGCTTACGGCTTGGATAAGAAGGAAGGCAAGTTTCTGCAAATTTTCTAAATTTTGGGGAAGCGTGGCATTCATTTTAGATGCACTGTCGACCTGCTTGCAAGATTTTTCTAATTGTATGATGATTCCCTTTTGTTAAATTATGTGGGCTTTAAAAACATTAAATGTATTTAGGTATTGATGGTTGAAGTACTTCAATTTTAACTGAGTTAATAAAGGAAAGGTAACATTTTGGAGATTTTTGAGATTCATCCGCTCCAAATATGAGATTCGAAGATTTTGTGATGCAATTTGAAATTATTTCAGGAGAAAAAAATATTCTTGTTTTCGATCTTGGCGGTGGTACTTTTGATGTGTCGGTGTTGACGATTGACAATGGTGTTTTCGAAGTACTAGCTACCAATGGTGATACTCATTTGGGTGGCGAAGATTTCGACCAGCGAGTTATGGAGCATTTCATTAAAGTGTTTAAGAAGAAAACTGGCAAGGATTTACGAAAAGATATTTATGCTGTGCAAAAATTACGACGTGAAGTAGAAAAGGCTAAACGAACACTGTCCAGCGAACATCAAGCACGGCTGGAAATCGAATCGCTGTATGATAACGAAGATTTCTCGGAAACACTAACAAGAGCTAAATTTGAGGAATTAAACATGGATTTGTTCCGTTTAACACTAAAACCAGTGCAGAAGGTCATTTTTTGTTGATAATTAGTGTTGTTAATGCATCGTTTCCTTCTAGGTGTTCGGTTTTTTTATTTTTATCTGCTATGTCTTATTTGAAGCCTGTATCTCCCATGTAGTATTTCTTTTAGGTTTTGGAAGATTCCGATCTCAAGAAAAGTGATATCTCTGAAATTGTTCTTGTCGGTGGTTCCACTCGTATTCCTAAAGTGCAGCAGCTCCTTAAGGAGTTCTTTAATGGAAAGGTGAAACTATGCTCATTTTTGGACAAAAGTAAAGGGGAAAAAATAGGATACGATCTTCAGAATTTTATGTTGAAGTCTCTGGTTTGATATTGATTTGATATCATTTAACATACAATTTACAGGAGCTGTCTCTTGGTATCAATCCAGATGAAGCTGTAGCATATGGTGCAGCAGTCCAGGCTGGTGTTATTTCGGGTGAAGAAAGCACTGGTGATATTGTATTGTTAGATGTAAATCCCTTGACTCTTGGAATTGAAACAATTGGTGGTGTGATGACCAAGCTTATTCAAAGGAATACTGTTATCCCTACCAAAAAGAGTCAAATCTTCTCTACAGCAGCCGATAATCAGCCAACAGTCACTATTCAGGTTAGCTTCGGTTACTCGAGTTTTTTTCCCCCGGAAGCTACAAGCGCTTTTTTCTGTTCTTTTTATTAAAAAATTTATACCTCTTTTACATTTTAATGGTAGAGTTTACGTTTCAAAATGACAATTCACATGAATAACATTGTAACAGAAGACGTCTACTAGGAATGTAATCCATATTTATTTTAATGCATAAATTTGACCAGTAACTAAATGGTTTAGGTTTACGAAGGAGAACGACCAATGACAAAAGACAATCACATGTTGGGCAAGTTTGATTTGACGGGTATCCCACCAGCACCACGAGGTGTACCGCAAATCGACGTTACGTTTGAAATCGATGTGAATGGCATTCTGCATGTCACTGCAGAAGATAAAGGCACAGGGAACAAGAATAAAATTACGATCACAAATGATCATAACCGATTATCACCGGAAGATATTGAAAGAATGATAAATGATGCAGAGAAATTCGCTGATGAAGACAAGAAGGCTCGATATATTTTGATATTGTAGTAGTGCTTATTTTTGACTAGATGGTTTTTTGATCTGTTATACCTTGTTTATGTTTAATGAGGATATTTTAGGTGAAGGAGCAGGTGGAGGCAAGGAACGAATTTGAAAGTTATGCCTATTCACTGAAGAACCAAATTAGTGATAAAGAGAAATTGGGTGGCAAATTGGATGATAGTGACAAGAAAACGATTGAAACCGTCGTTGATGATGCCATATCATGGCTTGAAAGCCATAGGGTGAGTTTATATTTTATATTCTTTATATACTTCTCCAGTCTAGACTATTTTTTATGTTCCATTGTAGAAAATTAGTGCAGTTAAAGAAACCTTTATTTTATGCTATTATTAATACTAGAAAATCATTTCAGAGAAAATCCACTGTAAAAAAGGCAAGAATTTTATCTTTTTATGCTGGTTATGAATTTTGTCTTTCTATGCTGATTTTTATGCTTTTCAGGATGCATCTGTTGAGGAGTTGCAAGAGCATAAGAAAGAATTGGAAAACAAAGTACAACCGATTATTGGGAAGTTATACAAGGATCAGGGTGCACCGCCACCAGAAGATGCTGGACCAGGCGAAGACAAGGATGAGCTTTAGAAAATGCGGCTATTTTTTTTCCTTTCCTTTCAGACAATTTTATGCGAGTGAGGATTTTGGAAAAGTCGGGTTTAATTAGCGTCATGACCTCGTATTTTGTTTATTGTTTAACAAGGTTAGGATGTTAACCACCTGTCCTCCATATATTAACCAAAATAAGATTCTGAAACATGTAATTTTGAAATATCATATGAAGCTGTTAGTAGTTCGCCTTTGCTTCTGAATTTTCCTGCTTAACTTGTAGTAAATTCTGGCTTTATTGTACTTGTCAGGTTAATCCAATTTTTTGTGGTTGACGTGATTTGATAACTACTTTTATCACGTAGATTCTCTCCACGACTAGCAGTTTTCTACGGTCTCAGGTCATATTACTTAATTTCCATATGGTGAAAAACAAAATCCAAGTAAACACACATATGAACAAGATAGTTTATTGAGCCAGATAGTATTTCTGATGCTCTTTTGGTTTTAATTTATTGGACTTCTTACGGCAATAAATCAGTTCATCTCATTTGATTGGATCTGTCTGCACTTGTTTTTGTACATTTTTTACGGAAACTTTTAATTCCTGATACTTTATCTGTGTTATGGATTGTATTATATATTATGTTTCGTTTGTTGTTTATTGCACTTAGGAAATAAAATATCTATGATCCTGTAGCACTTCAATATTATAAACAGTTCAAAGGAATTTTATTCATTGTATGCCCTAAAGGGGAAGGATTAAAGAACCTTCGTCATTTTTAGTTAAAAGTTCTTGAAATCTTGCGGACTAAAACAATGGAATTTTTAAAATAAATTAGCTGGTGTCAGCTTCCCTACGATGCAATAATTCTGAACAGGAAGAGGCCCATATGGTGGCGCGGCACGTGCGAGCCATTGGGTTATGAAGTGATAACTAATAACTAATTAACCATTGAGAGAACAGGCAGATAGAGGTGTCGTCTGAAGTTTTGAAATCTTAAACTTGCATTTTTTTTGATCACGTCAATCTGAATACATCAACTGAGACCCTAAGTGTTGTTACAATTGCATTTTTTTTTTCAATAAAAGTTACGTATTTTGTTGCTTGCATACATCTACTGAGTAATTTGATTTAATTCATTCCATCTCACAATATTTTCATTCAGTCTAGCTTGGTCGAGTCCTAATTCATTGACAAAAACTTGATGAATGTTCTGAACAGACCTTCTTGCTGCTTGCAAAACACAAGCACAAAAAAAAATGGGAATGCTGATCTACGCAACCTTTCCTTCAAGTCTCAGTAAGTAACAAATTACGAAATGATTAGATGAATGCACCATTGGTCTCTATTTTTGAAGAAAATTAATGCTTGAAAGAAAAAATAAGACTTTAGATTGGAAGAAAGAAAGTCTAGAGAGAAGACTTTGGATATAGATAAAATGTAAGATATATTTACAATCTACAAATTTTGGGTCATCCTTCCAGAACTTGAAACCTGAATTTGTTATCTCATTATGTGCCAAGCAATAACTATATGTAAGCGTCAGCAGTAAAATCGAAAATTTACTCCAACAAGAAACATATATGTCAGAAGAATATCGAATGGACTTATCAGAATGTTAAATGCATTGCTGTTTGGTATCAATTTCACCGACAATATATTAAACTTATTCATACTGCCAGTAACAACAATTTCACATATTAAATCAATTAAGAGAAGCAAACAACTGAATTCCTAAAGTACCTACATTTTAAGAACTGGTAAACTGTAAATTTAAGAATTATTTTTGCATTCATTAATAAGTTAAAGACACACTCAGTCCCTTATCAGTAATTATATGTTACTTTATCAACCTTATCTCCCTTTTTCTGGTGCAGAAATTCATGAAAGAGTATCCATAACGAAAAACAAACTGATGATTGCAACATTGAAACAGTGTTATACATAAACTAAAACCATTATAATTGCATAGGTTCTGCCGCTGCCTGTTGCTGAAAAACGTACCAACTTGGTTTATATCCATAATAAAGAGATTTTTCTAAAATCAATCCAAAGTAGGAAATCAAGGTTAAGTTCGAGAACTACTACAAAGTTCGCTTTTTACATGAACTGAAAATAGTAAGGAATGGGTAGAAGAAATATAGAACTTATAAAGAATTATTAGCAATTAGGTGGAAGTAATAGCTTCCTACTGGTAACGGAATTTCAAAAGAAATCACAAACTCACTTCACTACCACTTTGCTGACCGGTTCGTGGAACTCCTGCAATGCGATCTAAAAATGGTTGAACATCGTCATCTTCCATTACTTTGAATGGCATACCTTTACCCACAACAGCAATTGTTGTATTCTGCAATGTATTATACCACACTGATAAATAAAAAAGAAATTATAATTATGTAGATATGTTAAATTAATGTTACACATTCATAAAAAATTAGTGAAAAAAAATTTTTTGAAATGCACGACAAATTATCAAGTGTAAACAAGAGTCCTGTAAGGAAGAAAATCACCTTTTTTGATAAGCTGTCCTCAGCAGGAAGTGTATCTCTTAGTGCCAACAGTGCAAACTCAACCAATTGTTCAACATTTGCTGTAAATATGCACACGAAATTTTAATCTGTTTCAATTCCTTCATGATGGACATTTTTCGAATAAAACTGACAATCGAAATGAATAATTCACAACAGATTAATTGTCGATAATAAGTACAAACCAGCAGGAAACTGATCCAAATGCCGCTCCAGATACGTTCGTGCGCTTTGGGAACGAGCGCCTATTGAACTCGCCAGTGTTTCCACAACTTCTGCTGACGGATCGGTCTTCACGATATGTGTTCCTCTTTCCTAAAATTCGGATATCATACAAGAAAATCATCATCAGAGTACTAATCTTTTCACTATTAAATATAAGCTGTGAATAAACAGCAAAACTCTGAGTAAACGATGATGGATAATAATCATAGCGTATCACAACACTGTTGATGGATTAAATGCAGCGCAACGTTATACCACGTATAAGCATGCTCTGTGGCACGATATAATATTAAATTAAATAAAGTAGTTGGCAGAAAAGCCAAAAGTAAATCTAAAGAAATTCTGTATTTTTCTCTTAGTGCTTGTTTAGTGAGAACTTGAGCTTTTATTCTTGCAGTACACGAAGAATTATTCAAATTTACCAGTTCAAGCTTTGATATTCTTTTTAAACTGTTTCAAATCTAAGACGCTATGACTACAAATTAATCTTACCTGGTAACTGTGATGTGTAGAAAAATCAGACGTTCAAGAGAAAATATTTTCTAAAAACTCCAAATGCTATAATCAAAAAAAGTCAAAACAAAACGCCGCTGATGAACTGAAATGGAAGACAAAATGACTGATGAGAACTCACGTCATAACCAGCGATAACAAGACCAACACCAAATGGACGTCTTCCATAAATTTGTGTATTTGCTTGCAGTTCTGTAAAAAAATTTCCATATGAATCTAGACGAAATAATTTTCATTTGTAAAATTTATCGCAAAAATTTTGAATTTAACAAAATATTATATTGTCTGGAGTTTTTCAGCTATTCTTTCACTCATTTATAAAGTTTTTTATACATCAGTGCGATTTCTCTATTCTTTCTACTACTCCAATCTTTTGTACCATACAACACATATAAGTAGTTTCAATTTTCTTCGATTTGAATAACAAACTTCTGATATCAAATGCCACAAAAATGAACTCACTTAATTGAATCCGATTGTTTAAAACCTGAATAGGGACCGGCTCTTTGTAGTCCCATCTCCACGCCGAACATTCTGTTTGCAAGAAACGCCTAAGTGAATCCAAATTGAACATAATTTTAAAGATACATAAGAATCCATAAAAAAATGCATTATTGGAGAGTATTATGACAACAATAATAAAAATCCAATTGTCGTACATTAAGTGTTATCTAATAATGCATAATTTTATTAAAATATCTGATAAATAATAAAGAAGAAAATAAAAAAGATGGGTTAACAAGAATCTCATTTTATGGTAGTAATGGATCCCCTGTTCAATAAATTCCGGTACACAAATGATATCTCATTTCGCTGGAATGAATACGTAAATGCGTACTAGATTATAACAGACAAAACTGGGGAACTTTTTTCTTACAACTAATAAATGATAATCCGTTTAGTAGAATATGAAAATCAATGTTGCTAAAATTACGACACTTCAAGATGTAGAAATGAAGAATTCAATACTAACGCAAGAATTCGACCATCAGAAAGAAGACCCGCAATGGAAACACCGGCATGCGTGTCGAGTTCATAAATTTTTTTTTGATGTGAACATAGTTCATTTGCAGCGCGCTGGAAGTTTATAAACTATCGACTTTAAATATTTTTTACTTCTACAGAATTCGATTTTAAATATTTCTTTCTGCTCTCAGCAAAAGACGATCGAGACTGAGACGTATCACGACCGTCGCGAGAAAAAAAAAAACGTTCGAATTGTATACAAATGATATGTACGAGATAGATGTTCTCACCAGCAGTCTTGTCCGTGTTAATTAGCTCAAATATAGCATGATACATATAAAAAATTATACTAAATTTCGTGAATTATGTTAACACATCTGCGGCGAAAAATAGCTCTTTCTGACTTTAATTACGAACTACACTTGTAAAATATGTATTTGCAAAAGAGATGCAAACTGGGATTGGTTGTGTAATCGGTATGTGATCATATTATAATAGCAATGAAATGGGTAGAGATTGTTGATATGGACGAAGTCAGGTGTTATTGAAGATGAGATGAATTGGAGCAAAAGCAGTTTCAAAAGCTACCTTCAAGGCCACAAGAACAGCGTGTGTATTGCTTTTCACTCCAACGGTTGCACTACCTTGCTTCATTGCTTCAACAGCATAATCAACCTGATGAAGTCGACCCTGAAATAAAAGCAGACAAACAGTTAACAATCTCCCTGAACTACACATACGCTAAAACACCTTATCAACTCCAACGAGCCGGAATTTTGAAAAGTTGGTTGAAAAAAAATCAGATGCAAAAACGAGTTAAAGATTCGTAATGATGGAGTAAATCAATCGTTAATTTAAACGTATAACATTATCATCGAAAAACCAAATATCAAACACTAAAAATTACCTGAGGACTCCAAACCGTAACATCACTGTCGTATTGATTACGGAACATCTTCTGCCTGAAAATAAAAGAAATACAACTTTGCGCGAAGAAAGTTTTTCAATAAATCCTACCGTCTAACCTGCGTCAGTTAAATCTGATCCTTCTATTCTAAGACTAACCGTACCAACTGTCTTGAATTAACTGCGGTCATTTTAAGTACATTTTTTATTGTGGCACAACTCATTCTCTATCTCTCTTACAATGAAATGAATTTGGCAGCACGAAATAATTTATACTAAAGCCATAAATATTCAACGCTCTGAAATATAAGTTTATCAGAAATGACCTCGAGCCAAACTGTCTATCAATCAAACCGATAATTTTATTTTAAAATCAATCAGAAAGCAAAAGTGAAATATGAAAGTTGATGCACGCTTAGATATATTTCCATATATTACAGATAGTAAAATCCTATGTAATAAATTCAGGATATCTTAATCAGAAATTGGATTATGAGCCCAAATCAATTAATAGTTGGGAGGAAAATAATGTATCATAAACATTTGATAAAAATACAGCAACTATATTTATATAGGAATATACAAAAGGAACAAAGGAATACCTCCCAAAAAGCAAAACAATCTTCGAATTTATGATCAAATGATTGATTTGATACCGATTAAATGTGTAAAATGAGAAAGAAATGGATATTTGAAGGAACTAGATTCCTGTGAAGAAGAGGTGAGGAACTTCTCGAATAAAAGAGTTATGGAAAAACAGAAAACAATTATTTCGAAATCAGATCCCATAGAAATTTTGAAACAGTGAAACATTTTGGAGGAGATAAAACACAAATCACTGAATATCATTCTTAATCAATGATGTCTTTTACTAAGATGTGAAAGTGATTTTCAATTTGATAGATAACTGCAACTATAAACAACAAATCAGATCACATCATTCCGCTTCATCTTCTCTTTAAGAGATTTCACGCGATAAACATGGAACTGATTAAATTATAACAACATATATTAAACTGATTACATTCTAAACATAAAGAAGCTGCTAAAAGATGATCTCTCCAACAGCAAATGGGTAACTATATTTAAGATGGGATGAGTTCCTTCGCATCACCCCACTTTTCTGAAATCCAGCGTATCGTTCTTACCGGCAACTGAGGACCAATAAGCGGATTTAACTGATGCAAATAAACCAAAATCCAGAAAAGCCAACAGCAACAAGCGGTTAATACAATCATTGTTTGCACTATCCCTGCAATAACTACTCCCTGTTGAACTGAATATGATATATGCTGAAGCAAGAATGCCGTAAAGTCGGAAACAAGTATGTATGATTCAAATATACTGCCTCGTGTATCATTTTCTATTATTTCATAATTCTATTCCAACCTTTTGGTAATATTTGCAGGTGTAAATATCCCCTCTAATGTTGCATTTTCATATTTATGGAATCTACGAATAAGTCACATCAAATCATTATTCTTGTTCACATTATTCGAACAATAACAGATGTTGAAATCTCACTAGAAGAATCATTTCCTTGCAAAATTTAAAACTTAATAGATTTCTGTACTACCATGAATTGGATTAGGACAAAAATCAAAAAGACACATTTTCTCATGAATGAAAAAAGAAATGCATAACATACCTCGATTTGGGCCTTTTGGGACAATGAATGGTCCACCAACACCTATAACTATCCAGAATGCCGTAACTGTGAATACCAGAATAATTACACCCATACTTACGAATCCTGAAATGAACAGAATTAACAACATTCCTCCATTAAACACCATCGTAAGCCTTTCCAGCTAGAATGACATCCAAGACGGATAGCAACATAAACATACATGCAGACATACAATACCTTATGTTAATCAAGAAAACATAACATGCTACTAAAAATCCCGAAGCGTCAGTAAATTCCTGATAATTATGCTTGGAAAGCGTTATCGAGGTATTAACTAATGGTTTGCAAAGAAAGACATCGTTTGAAAGCATAAAAAATTAAGAAATTTAATATAATATGATGGGGACGTATCGTGGTATCTTAGCTGTTTGCATGGAGCGACCGAGAAATCTCATAGTAATGAGATGGAGGAAGCTTAATTAAAAGACACATCAAAGATGACAGTGGTAAACCATCGTACACCTTTCCCGCTAAAATGACACTCAAAACGGGCAGGAACTCAATCATCGGAAACACACTTGCCAACATCGCGAGACCTCGGGGAAGAAAACCATCTCGCTTGGTTGATAAGTGTTGCACAACGACCACATCGCACGATGACCAAAGATTGAAGGCCAACGTACCTCTTAAAGCACAATATTTACCGGTAGATGAATTTACTTTGGGTGGTGACTGCTTATTGAAAGAGTGCCCGGAGGGAGGGGAATCCAGACGTATGTTGACGATGTTAGAACCAGACCTTTGACCTCACGTGTTGTTTATATTAGTGTACATCTGGTGTGATTTCAGGTTATGCAAAGATGAGATTGTGTCCATTATGCGGACCGAAGCTATCGGCTTTTTGGTAAGTAATATGAGTTTATCGATTTTATATGCCGCGTTTTATAGAAGATAATAGGTGAGAGTCGAAAGTTGTACGAAATTTTTCGACATATATGATTTATTTTGAGCTGAAAAAAATCCATCATTTGGCAACATTTACGAAATATTTCAAACATTTAGGATTTCTTTTAACTTTTTCCAACTATTTTATTTGTAAAGTAATAGAAAGCAGAAGATTTTAAATGAATGTATAGTTTTGATTAAATATTGCGGAATTTTTGTATATTTAAAATTATAAATAAATGTGTTTTAGCATGATAATGTCAGTTTGGGGTGTTCTCTTTCTTGGTCTGCTTGGAGTGTTTTTTTATGTTCAGGCGGTAAATTTATTCCCGGATCTTCACTTCGAACAGGAAGAACCAGTAGAAGGGATCGTTTTGCCGCTGACAACTGCGTCAGTTGCTTTTTCTGATCTATTTCTTTTTTTAGAAGTTTTAAGTACTTTTTGCTGGAAATTGAGATCGACTTTGCAGTTGACTAATGCTTTCGGTATACTTTAAATCAACTACAAAATCGATTACTTAATATTTCGGTAATATACTGCTTATCGATGTGTATTGAATATATCGAGATTGTTGTCTCTTGGTATAATAACTTTCATGCTGTGTGCAGCCGAACAACAAAATTGTCTTTCAGAGAAAATAATTGTTAGATATAGTTCAGTATAATTATTCTACTTCTTTCGGTGGGAATAATATAAATTGTTTTCAGCGTTATTGAGGATAAGTATGCGGAAAAAGCAACGCAGTGCTGGGTAGCTGCTGGTATGTACCTTGTCACGTTTATTGTTGTATTTTGGCAGAATAAATTCAATTCTGCAACAATATTTTGATTTTCATTTTTTGGAATATTCATATGTTGTTTTCATTCTTAGAAAACTAACTTCAGAACATAATTTGCCTTTTATATATGATTGAGTTGCTATTGAATTTCCTTTCTTACTGTTCGGTAACAGCTTAATTGATTTTATGTCTTATTTATATAAATGAGAAGTACCTTAGATTATTTAAGATATATACTGGAATTGTGAATTTAAGTTGTAATAGAATTATGATTTGTTAGGGTTTATCTATTCTTAGGTTACCTTAAAAGAAAAGAAGTATTTGTATAATTGAAGCTTCTGTTATTCTGCTATTTCACTTCATTTTGCGCTGACTCCTTATTACTCCGTTGTACATATTTATCGAGTATTATGCTTGTGTTGTAAGTTCTATAAAACGTTTAGCAAATGAATTGTTATATTTGCAGTAGGATATTTCGTCGTCTTTGAAACAACTTTTGATGAAAAACATACTTGTGTCAGCTATTCAAATCATCAATATCACAAGATGCAAACAAGTATGTATGGATTGTGCAATCAAGAAAAAACCTTATTTTTCGAATTATTAGTGATTTTGTGACGAAAAGCCTGTCGAGCGGCTTGAAATTCAAAAAATAGACAGAGATAGAAATCTAAGCAGTCTTTAACGAATTTTTCATAATATACTACGCATTTTTGTTCTGACGGTAAAAATTCATTTGAGGACGATACACCTCTCCCCAATGTTCTGCAATACCAAATAATCGAGTACTGTGATTGATGAAGTGAGACTGTCAGATATGAGTTCACTTTTGAACTGTTGCACTTGTTCATTAACTGTTATCTATCCACTCCAAATGAGTCAAGGAAAGTCTAACTTGGTTTTGTGCTAGCTCAATCTTTCCTTTTTCATTATTTGAAACACAACGTCACGCTGTAAAGTGATTAGCAAAATTGCAAAAAGGAATGCTATAAGTCGCGAAATGCCAATAATTTGCGGTTTTGGATATAAAAAAAAAATCTACTTTGCTTATTCCTATGTTGTACAATTGAGAAAAGTGCAACTTCATAATTAGCTTGAAATGTCGCTGAAAAATATTTGATTTTATTCATTATTGTTAATTTATTAATCATATATGACTGATTTCTCTTTTTTAATGAAAAATCATAATCAGATGAAAGAAACAATAATTATTTGAAGCAATGAATTTAAATATTTGTTTTCTTAAATTTATTTCAAAGCATGTCTATCAATAAGATAGTGAAAGTGATATTATATTTAAAATCCAAAGATTAGAAATTAACTTCACGCCATCGAATTTCATGTTATCCACAATAGATATATCCACAGTATTTCTTAAAAGAGGAAAAAGTAAAAATTTTTAATCGAAAGATTAGAAGCAAATTGTTGCTAATGTTATTCGTTATTTGATTACAAAGTTTATGCTAATAAATGATCGAATATAATAAAACCAATCATTTCCTTATTTTTACTTTCATAATTTGCATTAGGAAATATTTGTTTTACAGCATTTTTACTATAATATCTATTTCAAAATTTATTCAAAATTATAATTCATAGAAAAGGTTAAAATATTTCACTCAGTCTGATGTTTTTATCGCTCCAAATTCAATCCTTCCTGCTCATTCCTCGAACTTTTTTCAGATTCAGTAGTGATTTATCAATCAAAAGGATGAAAGTGCGATATGTACGAATTATTCAAATGGGACGGATGTGATAGTGGAAGATATAAATAGTTTCTCGCAGTTATTTTAACAAGTAATTTTATAGTGATGTGGCTGTGAGAGGTTGTAGCATACCAACTGGATGTCCAATACAATCGAAAGATGTCCGGTGGAAGCGATAGCAAACTTTTAGGTTTAAAAGCATCTGATATGGTTGGTGATTGGATTGTGGTCAAAAAATTGGGTAGAGGTGGTTGCGGAGCTGTATTTGAAGTATGTACAAAAGTAAGTCATATTTTATCGCTAAACTAAACTATTTTTAATTTGCCAATTTTCGACAATAATTACCCAATTTGATGGTAATAACATTAATGAGTATTGTAATTTGGGTGATAGTTAAAGAACTTTGTAATTTCAAGTAAGTTTGAAATTTGTTGTTATATAATACTCGTCAAAATATTTTAAATCTTCCAGAATTCTGCAAATTCCTCTCGACCCAAAATGCAAACTATTATCAATGCTTGAAATATATATTTAATTAAGTAATTTCCAGCATGGGAATGAAACAAAACATCTAGCGATGAAAGTAGAATCGCGCGATTTGGATCACAATGATCAATTACTTCGAGCAGAAGCTGGAATTTTGAAACGTATGCAGTATTCCAAACATGTCCCCATTTTTGTCGCAGCAGGTAATAATAATTTATGAATTGATCAATTAAAACATAAATTTGAATAGGAGGATGAATTAATCGACCGATTATATAGTCAGTTAGTGAACAATTGTGTTATGAGATAAACAAATGAAGCATAACTTTCATTGTTCATGTTAATTTATAATTAAGCATGTTTGTCAAAAGTAGATTTGACCAAAATTTTTTTCCAACTTTTCATTAAAATTAATTCAATGAATGTGATGAATTTATTGGTTATTCAGGTCGTACAGCAATGTTTAATTTCCTGCTTATGGAATTGCTCGGGAAATCACTCAGCGAATTACATAAAGTAGCACCGCATCACCAATTTACAATGGCTACAGTTTTAAAAATTGCTCTTCAAGCACTTAATGTAAGCATTTATATTTACTTCCATTCCTTTATTTTCTGTACTTAACATTTCCTTTCATCAAACTTTTCGGAGAATGATCTCTCCTTGAAATCTTCGCAGAGTTCTCCAACTCTAAATTCAAGCCATCTCAAACAACATCCAAAATAAAACCTTCCAAAACCTCGATGTATCAAAGATTCGTATTAAAATTAACTGCACATTATTTCTCAATTCTTCTGAATATAAATTGAGCATAAGTGAAGTGTCAAACTTCGTCCGCTTTAATTTTATTAAGAGAAGAAATAGCTATCATATTTTCGAAATTTCAATTGAGAATTTTTTATTTCTAAAGGCTCTTCGTGACCTCCACAGCATTTACTTTATACACCGCGATGTAAAGCCAGGAAATTTTGCAAGCGGTTTGAAAAATGTTAATATATTATATATCCTGGATTTCGGCTTATCACGACAATTTGCTACATACGATGCGACAACGAAAGCACTTAAATTACGCAAGCCACGTGCACGTGCATCATTTCGTGGTACCGTCGCATACTGCAGCGTTAATGTACATAAACATTTGGAACAAGGACGTCACGATGATTTATGGTATCTGAGAAAAAATTATTGATCGGATGATATAAATCGCACAAATTCCAAGACAAATGAGGTAGAAATAAGAGGGACGGTTCGTACTTCCACAAATAACTATCACATAACGAATTATTTTCATTTTTCTAAAAACAACTCTGTATCTTATCAGAAGTCTAGAAAACTAGAAAAATGTTCAAGAAATTTCGATAATTCTCAGAATGTTTAAATTATGAAAAATAATAGTTTTTTGATAGTGAATAAAACATAAAAATGGTAAAAGAGAGAAATATTCAACTATATCTTATCAAATTAATTGAACTTTAAAAAATATACACCACAATTAATTAAACAAAATTAAGTTTACAGATTGAAATCTAACAAGAATTAACAAAAGAAAATATGCGTGAATTACGAAAACTAGAATTCTTTGTTCTCCATGTTATTAAAGACAGAAGCCTTGAGGCTAGCAGAGTACTATTTCATGAACAACAAAGAAAGATGAGTTAATTAAGGTCAATGATGTATATGTTAATTGAGTTCATTGCTGGTCGTCTACCGTGGAAAGGTCTAGATCGGAAAGAAACAGCTGTTATCAAGCAAACAATC